CCACGTACGTAAGGCGCCGCCCTCCACGAGCAGGAACTACAGAGCTGCAGAACCACAAACACGAGGAAAGAGCCAAAGAGAAAGACAGGGAAGCGGCCTGGAGGAAGGGGCGAGCAAAACCCGGGTCCCCCAGAGGGGTGGGGGGAGCGGGAACCCAGCCTCGGGCCTCGACGGGTGCACATCGGGGCTCCAGGCCGTGAGGCCAAGGCTGGTCGCCGCGGGGTTGACAAGTGTTCTGTGTGAAGCTCAAGGCAGTCGGTTGAAGCAGGGGGACTGACATTTTCAGAACCCCGAGCTGTGGAGGTGGGGAGCAGTTTGGCGCCTGCGCAGGGCAGGGACTCCGCGGAGAGCATGGCCCCCAGGCTGTGGGGAGCAGCAAGGGGGGGGCTGGGGGCCTGTGGGGAGCCGCGACGCAGGGCAGCCGGGGAGGGCGCTGGTCACCCTCTCTGTTGTGCGTAAAGCGCGTGTTTTACTTGGCCCTTAGGATCCAGAAATTGCCGAGGCTGCTGGTCGCGTCCTCCGACGGCTACCTTTACATCTACAACCTGGACCCCCAGGACGGGGGAGACTGCGTCCTCATCAAGACCCACAGGTGACCGCCCTAAGGGCAGTTGCCAACGGCGCCGCCTCGCTGGCCTCCCTCCTCCACCCACCATTTCCGGGCAGTCCTGGGGGCCTGCTCTGTGTGGGTTCAGCGCAGACGCCCCCCTCCGCTCCCCCCCACACCTAGGCCTGTGAGCACACAGAGCGAACCCCCACCCCCACACACATAAGGCGCACAGAAATGTTTACCAAGTTGAGCCGGAAGTCTCTCGAGACTCCTGTGACCAAGGGCGGGGCAGGTCTCCCTGAGTGAAGGGGAGCCGGGGCTGCCACTGCCCCCCCGCCGCGGAGCCCTCCCCGCCCGAGTGTGTCTTGGCGGCCGAGTGCACCCGCAAGAGCGAAGCACCAGTTCTGGGTCTCAGAAACCTGAGCGGGAGGGGCCGCGGGAGCCGCGTGGTGACCGGGTGACCGGAGGCCACCCCAACCCAGCAGACCAGCAGGGCACCACCGTCTGCACTTCAGACTCGCGCGGCCATGCATGTGCGCCCCGCGGACTTCCTTTTGGGGGTGTCCCAGACACGTGATGGTCTCTGTTCTCCTCCTCCACCCCCAATGCTGCCATCAGTTTGCTGGGCTCAGGAGCAACGGAAGAGAATAAAGAAAATGACCTCAGACCTCCATTACCTCAGTCTTACGCAGCCACAGTAGCCAGACCAAGCACGTCCACGGCTTCCACGGTGCCAGGTGAGCCGATGTGGGGGTCAGGTGCTGTGGGGACGCCCCTCACAGCCCCTGACGTGCATGGAGCGCGCCCTTAGGTGAGCCAGGGGGCTTTAAGCTCTGGTCCCTACACCCAGCCCTTGTCTCTGAGAGCTGCTAACAGCGGTTTCAGGGGCCCGGGGTGCACGTGTGGGTGGTCCCGCCCCGTGGTGCCGCTCAACATCTGGCCCTTGACTTCCAGGTTATTCTGAGGACGGCGGGGCCCTCCGAGGAGAGGTCATTCCCGAACACGAGTTTGCCACGGGACCAGTGTGCCTGGATGACGAGAATGAATTTCCGCCTGTGAGCATCAGGAACCCTTGAGAGCGGCTCAGTCTGCGGCCG